CCCAGTGCCATCAGCTGCCATAACTGAAAACGGATGTAGTGTTGAAATCACTCCTGGGGTGAAAAAAAAAAAGTTTTTCTTGTACTTCTGTATGATAAATATACCTGCAGGAGGCAGGTAAGGCTGAACACTGTCGTTGTCAGCCTTATGAAAGCCACTCTCAGGAAGACTATACACTGAGATGCTGTTCAACACAAATAATGATCTAAATAGGTGGCATGTGATTACACGGGAGACAACACTGCGTAAGAATACAAATACATGCTGTGTTCCAGGTAATAGGCATGGTTCAGAGCAGTTTCAAATTTGTGTGCAAATCTGACTTCAGCTATTGACTGACTCTCTACAGAATACCCTACTGCCTTTGTTGGTGAATGTTCAGTGGCACGTAAGCGCATGTGAGCAGTGACAATGAGAAGTTAGCCAGAGGACAGAATTAGTGGGTGCGTATGCATGTATGGGGGCAAGCTTGATCCAAAAACCTCATTCATGTAAGTTTCAGTTGGAGCTGAAGAACAGCATGGTTATACTTGCAAACTATTTCTCTTCTTCACTTTCTTTAACAGTAGTGGTCAGGGAAAAAGCTGGAGCTGCCTTATGCTCTGCACATCCTGAAACCAGGTTGACTCTTAGCAACCATGTGAAGTTTTACTGTGGTAGGGTTCTGCTTTTTGTTTTCCCTCTTCTGTGTGCACTCCTGCTGCTTTTACCCAGTTGTGTGATGGGTGCATTACAAAATGGGCTAAGGCACACGTGATTTCATTTTGAATTGTCTGATTGCAGTAGGGCCAAACTCAGCAGTACTGTCATACTCAGCAACAGCGTAGCCTTTAACACACCCTGCCCCAAAATGGTCCTGTACCTATCAGAAGCGTTGACTCACTGGTATGGTTTCGGTCATGTTTGACTACAAGCAAAGGGCAAATTAGCTGATTGTCTGACTTCAGAACACAGCACCTCTCCTCAGGAGTCTCAGCTCTTTGATAGGAAGCACCACCAGTTCGGCCTATGTACTGGCCTGCAGTTATGCTCAGGTTCATGCCCTGCAGGTCTCCAACACAGAGCCTCTTAAGAAGAGGTCAGTAAACATTACAATCAAGTTGTACAAGGAGAAATCCAGTCCCTTTAAAGGCTCATCGCTGGGTTGGGTCAAACCATGCCTGGTGGTAGGTCTGTGTGTTCTGGGGAAAAAAGTGTTACCTTGTGGCTGTTATGAGCATACAAGATGGGAGCATACAAGATGAGCATACGAAATGGGAATTTAAAGCTAGCCACTTTGCAGCTTTTGGCTTTTCCCCTTCTAGAGTAAGGGGCAGAGGGCAATCCTGGTTGGCTATCTATGCCAGCTTTCCACATCCTTTTAAGAGTGCTCCAACACTGTAGAGCCAAACTGGGGGCGTTTTACTAAATCACGTGAAGGAGAGAAAACGGTGGCAGCAGGGGGTGGGAACAATATTAGCAATGCAGTCAATTAGCCAAGTCTCTTCACTGTTACTGCTACTTTGCTTTCAACCATTCCACCAGGTACAGTCATCCTCTGACCTAACCCAACTGCTTTTAAGAATCTTTCTGCTCTGTGTAATGTTGCTACTTAACTGTAGTGTTTCAACCACCACATTTTGGTGGCAGTAGGTTGCAATTTGTCAGCAGTGTACAATCTTACCTTGAATTGCACTTTACTATCTAGCAAGTGTTTATGTCAAAACTCTCTTGAAAGATGTGATCCAAGATACAGATCTTTCTTTTGTTTAGAGAACACACCTTGATCACTGTAATTAATTCTTTCATGCTCAAAGGTTTTTTTTTTTTTTTTAAATAAATGGTAGTATAAGTATATTGCACTTAGGCAATTGAAATTACTATTATAACCCTAGGTTTCAGCATATGATGGAGTAAGCCACTAGTTAAATGCATCACACAGGTTTATTGCTCCATGCTAGCTACTAAAATAGTTCTTCACACACAGTCCAGAATACACAGTAAAGACCTGGAATGATTTACCAAGCATATCCAACGTCTGAAGTCTTGTTAACAGGCAAGATCATGGGATAGAGATCTATTTTAGTGAGCCCTTGTGATAACTCAGTATATTATCAGTAGCCACGTAATGAATAAATATGGGTAGTGTGAAGATTCACAAGGTGTTTGGCATTACTGAAAGCTAGCGGTATATGAAATAGAAAAGAGTAATACACCAGCATAGTAGGTTTGGAAAGGTCAACTTTTTTTTAATAACTGCTCTTCTCACCAGGTTATGTTATGCAGTTACAAAGTAGTTAGTTAGAAAAAAAGCATGAGTTTCTGGGAGGGACTAGTTGTTGTTTTTAAAAAAAAAACAAAAACATTCATATTCATTACATAAATAACACCTGGCACTTCAATGGGACTCCACTGGACAAAAGCCTTAAAGTTTAAAAACTGTGCTTGATCCAATATTATGTCAAGGTCCATTTTGTTGCATTTGAATATGTTCAAAACATTCAAGACCTCCAGATGACAAAAAAATAAGGCGGCAAAAATAAGAAGGCTGTGTGTTAAGACAGTGGATTAAGTTCATAGCAGCGTTTTAGCTCCTCGCTAATTTGGCCAACTATTTCTGGGTTCAATTTCACTTTAGTTGTTCACTGAGACAATATCTAATTTTCAGAAAGCCTCAGAGAGGAAAAGACTGAAAAATAATGTTAAAAACTTAGAATGGGATTACTTACTGAAGTCAGATCATCCCTTAAAAAAAAAAAAAAGAAACAACCTATAGTCAGAATAGTTACATAGATACTTGATTAAAAATATAACCAAATTAGAGTTGCCTGATAGTTTCAGCTTATAAAAATACTAGTTTCTGTCACCTCTCTACATCTTTCATTGCGATAGTCAAGCTAGCTTGAACAAGCAATTAAAGGCAATCCTATAACAGCAGCACAGTTAAAGAAAACATTGCCTAAAGCGAATCGGGCCTGAAGCTTTACTACAAAATAAAAATCAGACTCCTATCAAAGTTAATCCCTGCTGGAGGCCCATTCTTCCTTTGCCAATGCCACAGCATTGATCACATAAGGCCTTACTGAAAGTGCCAAAGCCAAAATTACATCATTAAACAAAAGTGCATGAAATAATAGTGAGCTAAGCGCTCATCTAGTACAGTATCTGATCTGAAGTCTGAGAAGTGGCCCAGGTGGTAAGACCACTCTTCCATACATAAAAATGTACCATTTTGTTTTGTAGGCGAAATACCCAGAATGGCCCCCACAAGTGCAGATGAAGGGTTATCTTCAGATATATGTTTGTATACAATATCCTAATCCATGGATTTTTATTATTAAAAAAAAAAAAAACTACTAGTTTGGACTGAAACTAATTGAGAATAGAATCCACTATAATGTCAGAAGAAAAGAAATTTTTGTGGTTACATGTAAACTTGTGATAAGCTTTTTCAAGAGGGTACGTTAACGGCAAGAAGGATGGGATACAATAAGGAGCAGTAATGGCCTATTTATGTAAAAGTCAGACCAGCCTCATTGTACACTTTGAAGACTTTCTCAATTGCATTGACATAGGCAGCTGTTCTCAGGTCCAGACCCAGGTTGTACTTCATGGCAGTACGCATGATTTGCTGAAACAGAAAAGGTTACATATGATTTCTGCAAGTTTCTCCATTTGAACTTCATTAGATTTTACTTAGCAGATCTAGGCAGGAGTATAAGAGCCCCTAGACTGGTATCGGAGTCTAGATCCTTTGAGGACCAAGTCTAAGTTGTTTTTGTTTCCCCCTACATCTGAAACCTAAAAGGGAGAAAATCTTCCCCAGATTTCCCCATTGCTCCTTTTTAGGTCTTGGATCGATCTGTACCTCACATAGAGGGGGCAGCAAGAAATTTCATTAGTCTTTGTCCCATCAATTAAAAACACTGTATGAAGGCATCAACCTAAAACCAGTGATGGCAAAGTAAAGTGTTCTTAGCTATTTGTCCCATGTTAGTCAGGCACAAGAGGCCAATGAATGTTTCTAACTACTACAGCTTCTACTAGAAAATACTTGCTGATTGCATACGTTAAGTCTGTAATGAACGTCTCCTATGCCTAGTTAAAGCCGGACAGCCACGCAGGCATCAGGAATACCTCATACTCACAGTGACGTCCATTACCATGTACTGTTATCTA